TTGCAGGGATACAATACATTAATGTAGGGATATAATACATTATTACAAGGATACAATACATTATTGTAGGGATACAATACATTATTGCAGGGATAGAACACATTATTGCAGGGATACAACACATTATTGCAGGGATACAATACATTATTGCACGATACAATATATTATTGCAGGGATACAATATATTATTGCAGGGATACAATACATTATTGTAGGATACAATACATTATTGCAGGGATACAATACATTATTGTAGGGATACAATACATTATTGTAGGGATACAATACATTATTGCAGGGGTGCAATACATTATTGTAGGGATACAATACATTATTGTAGGGATACAATATATTATTACAGGGATACAATACATTATTGTACGGATACAATACATTATTGCAAGATACAATATATTATTGCAGGGATACAATACATTATTGTAGGGATACAATACATTATTGCAAGATACAATATATTATTGCAGGGATTCAATACATTATTGCAGAGATACAATACATTATTGCAGGGATACAATACATTATTGTAGGGATACAATACATTATTGCAGGGATACAATACATTAATGTAGGAATACAATACATTATTGCAGGGATACAATACATTATTGCAGGGGTGCAATACATTATTGCAGCGATGCAACACATTATTGTAGGGATACAATACATTATTGCAGGGATACAATACATAATTGCAGGGATACAATACATTATATTGCAGAGATACAATACATTATTGTAGGGATACAATACATTATTGCAGGGATTATACATCTATCAACTAACATTTTTTTCTAATAGTCAATAGATTTATAATTTGAAAATGCGTGGGGACAATGTTCCCGTCGTGAGAGGCACGCGAGTTACGCGCACCACTTCCCGAACAAACGCATCATTTTTGTGGTGGGCTGACATAAACACCAATCGCAGTAAGATAAACTTACATCGTCACGTCAGTTAACCACTTTAGCTATTCATCGAATGGACAGACATGACAATCTTATCTTGAATCGACGATGGCGAAGTTGAGTAAGAAATGTCGATGCGTATTAATTCCACTGAAAGTATTTAATGTAATTTGATAATAACCCGCGATACGAGAGGATTATAATCGCCCTAACAACACAAAATAGACCGGTAGAGGTCGCATTGCCGTCTCACGCATTTGCCCACTTCTCTAAAAAGCGTTCAAATAACTCGATCAATAAACTGATTAAATATGTGAACTGTGACAGTTACAGACGATTTGACAATGATATATTACGATATGCCATCGAGATGACACCATTTGTCAAGTTAAATAATGTCATATGGCGGTGGTCGTTGATTTTCCAAAAATCCAATACGCTCTTCCAACATAAAACTCCAAGTATAAGGGTTGACCTGTATGCGACTTGCATTAATTACCGCCGGTGACTCCCTTCGATGCCTCCAATTATACCAAAGTAAAGCTTAGTCTCAATTTGATTTGCGCAACAGTCAAAGTCACCAGCTTTGTTTATATGAGACGCATATATCTCGCGCATGCGTGGCGCAACGACTACCGCCCTTTAAGTGTCATCTTTTAGATATATTTATATTTCTTTTATATTTCTCAGCTTCATTTGCATTTTCTTCAGTGCAAAGTACGCAACGCAAACACAATGTCTGACACGAACCGTCTTGTGCATACAACACGAGCCAAAACGAAAAAAATAAAAATAATACCACCAGATACGAGATTTTTTTTGCAGTACAAACAAATATATGCAATGACTTTGTTTAGTGGTTAACGTGTTTAGACTATTTTGTTGCAATCCATGACGTAATACCGCTGATTACCAACGCCGTCTCGTGTGGTGGTTCTCGATGTAAAACGTGATAGCATCCCTGGTAAAGCTAAAATTAAAATATTTATATATGTAATGTTCACAAATATCGCATTCCTTTAAATTGTGACTTGTTATTTCCCCATTAACCGTCCAGTGTGTACATTAAATGTGTGTTCTAACTTGTACTCCGAGTCGATTTAAATAACTAAAAAAAATACACAATTTAAATGCGTGTAAAAAAAAGGTCGAATTATTTTATGTGCAACTAAAAGGTCAGTAAGGTCACGGAAATGAACTGCACACTCTGATACTATCTACCGCGTGAGATTTAGTGACGTCATAGATCATCCAAGGGGCATGTAATCAATTCAATGCTATACAAAGTCGTGTTTCAAACTTGGCGATTGTCATGCGTGGGCAAAGAAAACATACATTCGAGATTCATCAAATATTCCAATATAATCGGAGTGTACTTGGTGCTTTGTTTTAAGGGCGGCAGTCGTCGCGCCACGCATGCGCGAGATTTATGGGTCTCGTATAAACAAAGATTGCTACTTTGACTGATGCGCAGATCAACGAATACAAACTGAGACGTTGCAAAGCTTTAATTAGGTATTTTTTAGGTGATTGGAAAGTATCGAAGGAGTCACCGGCGGTAATCAGTGCAAGTCGCGCCCCGTCGCGCCCAGGTCAAACCTCATACTTGCGCATTGGATTGTGGAAAAATCAATGTTTATCAACACAAATGTCGCACATGCGCAGCGCGACGACCACCTCCCTTTAATTATATCGTATATCGTAACTTACTGTTGAAGCTATTAATGCCAATTTTTCGTTTAGTTTGATAGCCGGCGCAGACGCAACTACTCCTGCAAACTGATCTGGTCTCTCCATAGCGGCTAGTATGACCATAGTTCCACCCTGGGAAAGGATTACAGGATGAAAATGAAAATGCGTCCCATACAATGGTTAAAACCAAAACGAAATATTGCAACATCACACATAGTCCAATCACGATCTGGATAACAACTTTTCTATTGACATACATGTATGTTAGGCCACACCGACTTAATTTTATGGATGACATCCGCGCGCGCATTAGTTTTCGCCTGTTCTAAAAAAAAATCTCCGACGACGAGTCACCACAGATCGGTTTTCTGTCCGGAACATATTGTCGCAAAGCGCCTACTTGTCGTAAAACTCGTTTTGGGCTACCTCAAAACCAAACTCCGCACAGTTAGATGCGCGTTACGTAAAGCACAAAGACCTATGGGAAGGAGATTGCCTCAAAACATGCAAATTTTTTCATAAATGATCCAACATGGCGACCACACCATCAAACAGTTCAGAGGTAAAACGGTGGGATTGTTGTAGACTGGTACGCAATTGACGTTGGCCAGGGAGACGTTTATACAGCTATACGAGAGGTCGTTAGCGGCAAGCGAGTTTCGCCCAGACAACTTTAAGAACATATTGTCCAGAGTGGCTGTCCCGCGTTTCTTCTGCAACGATGAGAGAAATGGGAGAGGAGTGGAGGTGTATGGTGGCCTAAAAGTCGGTCAGGCGACAAATCAGTTTGGTTGCTTTGTCCGCAATGACGTCGACAAAACTGCAACAAAAGCAGCAAAAGCTCCTTGGCCGAAGTCCCCTTTCGGGGTGAAGAAAAGTTTCTTATTATTTTTTTTTTTCATTTTGTTGGTGGTGTTTTCTCTGTTGGTGTTTTTTTTCAATATCGAGCCTCTTATAATTTGTTACATAGTTGAAGTAGTTCTAGAGCATTTGTGTCTACACTTAGTCTATCTGAAGTGTCACTTTAAAAGTTGTAGTTTGAATGTCAAAGAAGTTAATTTCCAGGTTGATGTTGACAAACTTACTGTTCATTTTTAATTTGTTTTTCAGTACAACACAGTAAGGTTTTTTTTTATTATTGAGTTTATGTGTATGCCTTTGGCAAAGCTAACATCTGCCTTATTCTCTTGCCTTTTCAAAATCAAAGGTGATGATATATGTGACAGTAATACAGTACGAAATGTGTACATCAACATGTGCCTTCTACAAATAAAGACTTGTTGTTTTGTTGATACACTGTGGTTCAATTCGTAATAACAGCTCCGTAGTCCTGTGGTTTTAGCAGCATTTTTTTTGGGGGTAGGATTTTTTTTTTCGCCCTCTCGCATTAGTTTTGGGGTCTTCAGAGGATGTCATCCATAAAATTAAATCAGTGTGTCGTACATTCTATACGTAACACGACTTACCATGGAATGGCCATACAGAAAGATAGGTAGATGTGGAAACTTCTTCTTGATTATGTCAACATGTTGTAAACTGTCTCTCACATACATATTAAAGTCCTTGATATCGATTCGATCACCTTCACTTTGTCCATGACCAACTGTAAACGGGTTAATATATAGACACAATACACAAGTAAATGTGTTATTCATACGAAATGCATGTCGGTAGTTCCATACATTATGGTTTATGTTCTATTACAGCAACAATGTGTGGCAGCCCGATGTACAATTAAAATTTCAACATTGTAAACAACGTCACGGTATCACTTAATTTCTGCTTTTTTGATTTTTTTTTTAGTTCAGTAAAATCCGCTAAATTAAATCTATGTGAATATAAACAATTACAATAAAAGTCACTGCGCGAATTCAAGATCCAGTGAACAATGAAATTACATGTATATACCAATTTGAATGGAAATGAATGTGTTTACTGTGTATTAACGCACTCACGGTGATCGTGGGCATATACCATAACACCACACCCAGTCAATGGTATAGCGATTCTGTCGTACTGACCGCTATGCTCGGCTAAACCATGTAGTAGTAAACACACCGCCCTACAATCAAAATAAAATTGTATTAAAAGTTGAATACGTGATTTACATAGTATCAGCTAGAAAAAACCCAAACATGAGTGATCTGGCAGGCCAAGGTGTAATAATGACGATAATAATGACGATAGTGAGCCCGGGTGAAACACCGAGGTCGAGACCTCAAAACGTAATGGTGGCGTATGTGCTTTCAAACGAACACAGTGTATGTTTCAACTCACCGCAGCTTTGACTGGTCGGCGGGAGCCCAGCTTCTTGCATAGATATGCAGTCCGTCTACATTAACGAAGTGTGACAGGTCCTTGTAAGACACTCCCTGTGGGCTTGTAGCCATTATGGGGACACTGTTCAACCCGCGCAATACTGATCGGTCGATAAGTGCAAATACTGTCCCGGTAGCAGGTCAGATGCTGATGACACAATGCTGTGGCAATGAACTCAACCTTACGTTATTCATGGGCTAAGGTTGCGAGAGGACACGCGCGAATATGTTGTTGGGCAGGACTCCAGAAGGAGTACCTACACTTTATGCATTTTTTTTTAAATTATGCTAAATTATTCATGACGTAGCAGTTTCTGTGCTCATGAAAATTCATTAATTTGTGGGTCAATACATTCTAAAAGGGGCGATATATTATTTTTGGGGGAAGCGTTAGAAAGAAGGATTAGCAATCCTTAGGGGGTCAATACTAAAGAAGGGACCCATTTGGAGAGCAGCATTGATCCTCGTGTCTGTTGTTGCACGTGACCTGCAGCTGTCAACTGCGTTCGTACTTCGACTCGCTTCAAAATGAGGTAGTTTGTTGGGTTCTGTTTTTGTGACTTGAGTTCTTGATATACAGAAGTTGCTGTTTATGTTTTTTGTTTCTCTTTCATATCTTGTCTTGTAGGAGTGTCCTGTCCGGTCCTTGATTCGAACTTGCAATCTTTGAGTTCCAAGCGCACTGTCTTGTCCACTATACCACAAATGTCTTCACTCAAATGATAGGATTTAAGTCCTACTTATAAGATCAATGTTTTCACTAGCATTCAACATTGCCCACTTTGTACATATCCAATGAAGCATATGGGTAGTCATTCAAATGAATGATTTGTTTTCATATTTAGCTTTATTGCAAATTTGTGTTTGCGAAAAACGACTAGCAGGCATGGGAATTGAACCCGGGTCCTGATCACTGTGTAGACAACTGAACCACAAGACCAATATTGATTGACTGATATGTTGGCATTTGATA